CATTCCCTGGAGGTTTTCTGCTCCTCTGGACCTGTTGGATGGGAGCGCGCGGGGCAGGGAGAGACGCGAGCGTCTCGCTCGATGACTTGGCATGCCGGAGGGTCTTTGAGGCGATGTTTTGCCAGCTCAGTTGCCTTTTGACTTGGAAGATGCAGCTTTGCTGGTGATGGGTGAGCCCTGCAAGTTCCTCTCCAGAGCTGTGGCAGGGTGGCACAGCTCCCTTTCACCTCTGGTCCTCTGTCTTGGAGGTCGTGCCTTCATGCTGGACGAGAAGCCCTGCAGATGGGCAAGCAGCGTGTCCAACCCCATGCCGTGCCGATGGAGGAGTCCTTCCCTCTCCCTTTCCCTGCGGTAGGAATCTCCCGAGCCGGGAGCCCTGAGCGACCAGCTGGCCTTTGGAAAAACAACTCCCTTCCTCCCGCTCCTCCATGGAGAGGCTGGCGTTGGTGGGAGGGCTGCCTGAGCCAGGAACAGCGTGATTCAGGAGCTGCTGGCGGGCAGCTCGGAGCTCTGCCTGCATCCCAGTTTCCTGTTGGAGGATTGTGAAGGCACTGGGATGGTACCCACTGCTCCGTGGGGAGGGTGATGCCAGCCTGCATGGGGGTCCTGCTGTGATGTGGGGCTGGGCTGCAGGCACAGTACCCTGGCAGAGCTCTCCAGCTGCAGGAGGTCTCCTCTGGGATGGGTTTGGTGCTCCAGCTCCCAGCACAGCTGTGTGTTCAGCCCCGTGGTGTGCAGAGGGAGCTCACAGGGAGCGCACAGGTAGCTGCTGGTCGTTGCTGGGAGATGATGCCTCCCACGAGGCAGCTGCCAACACCGGATGCTCAACACCGGGTGGATGGCGATTAGAGGGAGGGGGCACAAGGGACCCCCAGGTAGGTGTAAGGTGACCTTAAGGAAGGAATTTTCTTTCCTGCTTCATCTCCGTGCCTCTCAGAACATCACCCTGTGCTCTCACATGCTTGCTGAGCTGCTGCCTGGCCAGGCATGTTCCCACCTGTGCCATTCTAGGGATCAAGGACTTGCTGTGGTGCAGCATCCCATGCATGCATTCCCCTTGGGATGCCAGGGCAGCTGCCTGGCTGCCTGGGGAGGGTGGTGATGATCCCACAGGGCACCCCTCGTGCCCAGGAATGGGGTTCTGAGTCCCCATCTCACTGGGAATGGGGCATCAAGCCACCCCTCAGAGCTGCTAATCCTTCTCCTCCCTGGCCCCGTGTGACCTTGAGGCATGTCACTTGACCTGCGCGTCGCCCTCCATCCATCTGGAAAATCGGGTTTAAAAAGCAGGAATTGCACTGAAAGCCCAGATGCTGCTTTCCAGCTGGGGGAGGGGGTGAGGGCTGCGCTCCCAGCCCCAGGGCTTCCCCCCACCAGGAGACAGGCAGATGCTTTTGGGGGGCTCTGGATACCCCAAGATAGGCAAAGGCACTGAGTTTGTAATGGGGGGTGCAACCCCCACTGAGATATTTAGGGGCCTACAGAGGTGGGGGACGGGCAATCTCCTGACACCCCGCACCCTGCCCTGGCAGCCGGGGTCCCTGCAGCACATTGTCCCTGTCCCCCACCCTGGGCTGCAGTCGCTCCCCTCTTCATTTCATGGTGATGGCTGCCTGCTCTCCTTCCCTGCTGGCCTCCATATGCCACGCTGGTGGCCTTGTCCTCAGAGATCCCTGCCATATCCCTCCTCCACCGATGGGAGCGGGATGTGTCAGAGCACATCTCATCTCACCAGGGAGGGGAGGTCCACAGGCCTTGTGCCTGCTCCCTCAGCCATCCCCATGGGGGCACAGGGTGGGGATGAGTGCCAGGGGTGTGGGGAAGCATTGGAAATGGATCCTGGTGCCTCTGTTAGCAGGCTGCAAGGCGATGGAGGATCAGGACAGGATGCCCTCTCTGCCCCAGGGCATGGGTGTCCACTGTGCCAAGCAGGAAAGCTTTCCCAGGCGTTAATTCCTTTGGAAACCTCTCTACCGTGGCCCTGTCCTTCTCAGAAAGCACCTGCAGGAAGGGTCCTGCTTCAGCGAGTGCAGCAGAGATGCTGGATGCCTTCAGCCTCACTGTGGCACCTTCTACCTCTGCCCTTGGGATCAGAGGAACTGGATGCCCAGATCCAGGTGAGGGTCTCCCCATCCTTGGCATCGCCATCCTGGGGAGCCCCGCGGTGGCACCGTCTCAGTGGCGGCAGCCTTCCCTCCTCTCCCTTTGGGATGCTGTTCAACTCCACCTCCGCATCTTGTATTCTTGCCTCCTGGCACGCGGCATGCTTTTATTTTTCCTGGATCTGCTTGGATGACGAAGCCTGTTGATTACTTGTTTTTCTTTACGAGGCATCCCCCATCTTCACGTGAGCTCCTGCGCCGAGGCGGATTTGGGGTTCGCATCCCTGCTGCCGCTCCCTGATGTTGACCCTGTTTCCAAACCGCAGATTCAGCCTTGAAACCTCTCTGAACTTGGCTGGGAAAATAAAGTGGGTTTAAAAATACCTTGTCTATTTGTGCTCTGTTTCTTCTGGCGTCTGCGGGTTGTTTTCAAGCGTTTCCCTACAAATGTGGGGGTGAGAAAACACTTTGAATTCAGAGCTGCAGTCTCCATTGCTCGCTTTCTTCATGGTCTGAACTTCGAAGAAAAACCTGGTCAGGGTTGGGACCACAGGGCCGATGGGTTGGGAAGTTGAGGAGACCCAAAGAGGGGTCGTGAGACATCTTCCCATTGCCTTCCCGGTGCTCTGGAAGCGGGGACAGGAGGGCACGGGGCTGGTAGCAGGGTGGGTGGCAGCTGGGGAGAGCCGGGGGCCGGTTCTCTGCCGTGGCTGCCAGTCGGCCGTGCGCTGGGGAGGTGATGCTCAGCCGTGCGTGCAATTCCCCACCGGCCTTGCGATCAGACACCGGCGCTGTGAGCTGCCGGGGATGACCTATTTTCCTGAGCCCGGGCAGCCCTGGCCAGGCGTGGGTCCGGCGGAGCGCCTGGCTCGTCCCCTCCCCAGGGACGTCACCCAGTGCCCTGCCAGGGAGCCACTCAGGGCATCCTGGCGTAGGGTGACTCCCTGGCGCCCGTCTCCAGGGTGTCAGGGTGGCCTCTTGGGCAGCGAGCTTGCTCCAGCTGGGCAAACATCAGCATTCCAGGCTCCAGTTGGTGGAGAGGTGCTGGAAACCGAGATTCCCTCTTGGTAGCCGGGGAGCTGGAGCGCTGGGGTAGGTGGGGGGCTTGGGAAAGGGGTTTGGGTGCTGGAGCTTCCGTTTCCTCTTGCTGGTGGGTACAGGGTGTCACTTTGAAGGGGACGAGGTGCTGGGGACCTGCTCGCTCGGGCGAGGCGGCCGGGGAAGCGCGTCCTTGGATGCTCTTGAGCAGCACGTGATGGCTCTGTCCCCGCAGCAGGGCCATGGCCAGGGAGGGGGCTCCCAGCTCAGTCCCCCTCACCCTCCCGGATGGGCACAGCGGGGTCAGGACGGCTTCTCCCAGCTGAGTGCCGGGGTGGCAGGGGAGGGCTGACACGGTCCCTGCTGACAGGGTGCGAACGGGAGCTCATCGGCGATGCAGCGCTAACGAGGGATGGAAAGGTGCAAGAGCGTTGTCGAGGCGGTGCAAAGCGTGTGCGGGGGTGTGCGTGCACACCGCACGTGTGTGCTCAGCGATTCCCCCGCCCCGCTGGGCTCCGGGCGGATCCGTGGCCGTGCAGGACCCCCCTCCCCATCTCTGCGGGACCCCCAGAGCGGGGCCGGCTGCCTGCAGTGGGTGTGCAATGCAGCATCTGCTCCTTGCAGATGGCTCACAGCTCTGCACCCCGGCTTCACGCACCCCGCTGCCACCAGCCAGCCCTCCCAGTTTAAAGAGCCACCCGTGTGCCGGGGCCGTGGGGGCTCAGGACGCTCGGGTGGCCATCGCGCTGTGACCCTGTGACACCTTGTGCGTGCCGTGTGCGAGCTCTGCCCGCTGCCCTTCCCGCGGGGACACTCGGCTGGCGGGCCCGTGGGGTGGCACATCACGGGCCTCTCGCCGGTACGCGCTTGTGCCAGAGCCAAAAATAGCCGGTGATGCTCGGTGATGCTCGGCTCCCGCGGCGGGGAAGCGGTGATGTCACTCGCCGCCAATCACCGGCGGCCCCGAGGAGCAGCGCGGAGGAGTGGGAACGTGCTTCCCCGAGCATCCCTCCCCGAGCATCCCCCCCGGAGCAGCCAGCGGCCGCGTGTGCCTGGAAAACGGGGGGCCCTTCCTCGATGAGAAGGGCGATGTGGGTCTAAACGTAGTTTTGGGGACCCCCTGTTTGGCTTTCCCCCAGCCCTGGGTTTCCCCTTCTCTCTCCCTCTCTGAGCGCCGTGCTGAGGATGCAGCTTTGCTGCTGCTGGCGGAGCAGGATGACGCCAGGCTGCAGCGAGCAGGGCGGCACAGCCGGGGTGGAGCAGCCTCGGAGCTGAGACCAAAGTCCCCTGTAATTACCCAGCTGGGAGGAGCAGGGTGACAGACCCGACGCGCAGGTCGCAGACGGGTTTCAGGCTTGGGGCTCTCAGGGATGCCCGAGGACAATGTGGGCTTGGCTGGAGCATGGTGGCTGCGGGGCCCAGCCCGTCCTGGCACCGGCGGCAGAGCTGGGTCTGTGAGCTGGTGCAGCAGAGCTGTGGTCAGGGGTCCCTGCATGCTCGGTCCTGCTCACTGGAGGATGCAGGGGCACGAGCTAAAAGCAGCCATTTCCTTGTATCCAAAGGGTACAGGGCAGCCCAGGTGGTGCTGCAATGTGGGGAGCAGTGCTAGACGTGCTCTGTGCCCCTCTACTGAGAGCAGGTCCCCCATGGGCATCACCCTTGAAGAGGTTGGGAAGCTGTCCTGGAGCACTGGGCTGCTGATGGCCACTGTCCTGACTCCTTTGGTAGCTCAGGGTGGCCTTGGAGCTGAGTGCAAGGGTTTGGGACCCCCTGTTGTTTCTGGGGCAAGGATGACCCACAGGCTGCTCTTGTTGGAGACAGGTGGCTGGGGATGAGCATTACTGCTGCTGTTGCTCTTCTGGCCATCCTGGTTCCATGCTGGGGACCAGCAGTGGGATCAGCCACGGATTCTTCCTTCGCCCCCTCGCAGGTGCCCTCGGCTCGAGGGAGGAGCCCGAGTTCGTGACCGCTCGCGCTGGCGAGAGCGTGATCCTAGGATGCGACGTGATCCACCCGCTCACGGGACAGCCCCCTCCCTATGTCGTGGAGTGGTTCAAGTTCGGCGTCCCCATCCCCATCTTCATCAAGTTTGGGTTTTACCCTCCCCATGTCGACCCAGAGTATGCCGGTGAGTCCTGGGGGGGGACGAGGGGAGGGTGCCGGGTCCCGGCCGCAGCACAGCCCGGGATGCGCAGCCCCGCTCCATCCGCTCCTCCGTCGGAAACCACGCAGGCTCTGCCTCTCGTTGCTCGCTTTCCACCCAGTTGGTTTTAATTAAGCAGCAGCGTTAGGAAGCCAGCTGGGCTGCGTGGGACGGGAGCAAGCGAGGCAGAGAAACCCAGGGTGACGCGTGGTGGCGGTGGCTGCTGCTGCTGCTGCTGTGCCCCAGAGCAGCTGTGAGCCCAGGGCGGGACGCTGGGGATGGAGCCAGGGCCACGTGCTGGGCAGAGGTGACAGGTTGGAGCTGCAGAACTCATGTGGCTGCTAGCCAATGTGCTGCCTGTGACACGTGGCTGGTGTCCTCTGGTGGGAGCTGGGAGCTGGAAAGCAGCCCTGAGAAGGTTGGTGTGGCAGGACAGACCCTCTGTGGTATTCCTTTCCTTGTGGAATGCTGTCCTGGGAATCTTCCCTGGGTCATATGGGACTCTCTGCCCAAAGTGCTCTAAGAAATGCTGCAGCAGGGAGGATGCACCAGCTGAGCCGTGCCAAACTCAGCTCAGCAATGGGTGATCCCACAGCCCAATGGCCACTGCACCAGGGCGGAGGTTTAGACTGCTTTGCTCCTGACCCAGTTCTTGGGGCTGTGCACAGGGTCAGCTCAGGGCTGCCCTGCTTTCCGGGAGTCTCCCAGGCGGGGAAAAGCTTTGGGGCACGCCTGTGTGCCGGCTGTGCCGCCGCCAGCCCCCGGCTGGGAGCAGAAGGCCGGTGTCGCTGTGGGCAGACATCACTCGAGGCACCTTGCCTGGCCCTGGCAGCTTGGCTCTGCTGTGCCCAGACGGGCGAGTGTGTCACCGGCCTGGCACCACCGGCCTGGCACCATCGGCTGCAATCGCACCCTGCAGCTCAGCCAGCCCCAAACTGGGACGGTGCCCACATGGGGATGGGGTGTCCCTGTGGGGATGTTCTGGGGATTGCTCCAGTTTGGGATGGGATGTCCCTGTGGGGATGTTCTGGGGATTGCTCCAGTTTGGGATGGGGTGTCCCTGTGGGGATGTTCTGGGGGCTGCTCCAGTTTGGGATGAGGTATCCCCTGATATTCTGGGGCCTGCTCTGGGGTCAGGATGAGGTGTCCCCTGTGGCCATGTTTTGGGGCTGCTCTGGTGTGGGGGATGGGGTGTCCCCTGCAGTGATGCTCCGGGGGCTGTTGTGGTGTCAGGGACACGGTGCCAACTCTGTGCTCTCCCACAGGCCGGGCCAGCCTGCACGACAAAGCCTCCCTGCGCATTGAGCAGGTGCGCTCCGAGGACCAGGGCTGGTACGAGTGCAAAGTGCTCATGCTGGACCAGCAGTACGACACCTTCCACAACGGCAGCTGGGTCCACCTCACGGTCAATGGTGAGCGCGGCGGGGGCTGCGGCGTCCGTGCGGTGCCAAAATGGAATTTCTGGTGGATGCTGGATACCTGCTGGACGCTGGCCTCGATGGCATCTGTGCCTGGCAGACACGCGAGCCTGAAGCCATCCAGGCTGGCTGCTCCAGCCAGGGCGTGACTTCAAAAGGGACGAAGTTTTATTAGGGATTCTTCAGTTTAATTACACGGAGCTTGTTTAAAGGAGAGACATCAAGAACCAGGGCTGGGAATGAATCTTCTCTCAACAAACAGATCAGAAAATCAAATCTTTGTTTTCTTGAAATTCAGATTTACTCAAATTACTTTTTCATTTTATTAGGGCTGTATATTAAACTAATTAGCAAATTGTCATTCTCCGCATCAGGAGAGAGATCTTTATTTTTAGCCCAGCAGCAGGGCTGTGCCTCTCCTGCTGCAGTGGGGTGGCTGGAGAGATGTGGCCACTGGCAGCTCCTCGCTGGTCTTGCCTTGACCTTGTGCAATTAATTTAACCTTTGGGGGGATGCTGTGCTGTGGCACAGCGCAGAGCCACCTAATTGAGCCCAATTAGTGAGCGGGAGCTTTGCAAGAGGGGCCGTGCAGGCCACCAGCCCCATCCCTGCCTGCTGCCCTGCCTGCCGCTTCCTGCTTTCCCCCAGCCTGCTAATGAGCTCCGAGGGCTCGGGAAGGAGGGCAGGAGGAGGAGGAAGGAGGAGGATGGTGGTGCCTGGCTCACCTCTGCCACGTGCATGGATCCTGCAAACCACCAGCTGGAGGGGCTGGAAAATGGCCCCAGATACCCTGTCCCTCCCCTTGGCAAAATGGGCCAGTTTTGGGGCTTTTATGCAGCACGGGGCGTGCAGGGGCTTAATAACAATATAATAACCATAATCCTCCCAGCCCGAGGAATTGCTTTCAGGGTGAGGGCTGTGGCATTACAACGCTTAATTTTCTTAGGGGCAAAATAAAAATCATTTGGGGAGAAACAAAATATAATTCCTTTTTTTTTTTTTTTTTTTTCCCCCCCCAAAGCAGATTAAATTGCCAACCTGTCTTCCTCTAAAGTGGGCTTTAACAACCGCGGGTAATTAGGGGCGGGCTGTAATCCTGCCAGCCTCTTTCATCAGGAAGGAGCCTTTCGATCTGCACTGCGGTGTTTTCCCATGTTTTGACAATAGCGAGTTAATGTTCAGCGGGCTGGGGGGAGGAGAGGGGGCAGAGCTGGGGTGTGATGTGGCCCCTCTTGGTCGGTGTCCCCAAGGACACCCCTGTCCCTGCAGCCCCGTTTGCCTTTGGGGTGGTCCCAGCCCCGCCGTGGGGATGTGCAGAGTGTCCCCTGTGTGCAGGCAGCGCTTTCCCCTCTGTCCCCGTGTGCCCCCAGAGCCAGAGTGGCCGTGGGTGACCCAAGGGGTCACGGTGCTCTCCTGTGCCCCCAGCTCCCCCCACGTTCACGGAGACCCCGCCGCAGTACGTAGAGGCGAAGGAGGGCAGCAGCGTCACCCTGACCTGCATGGCGTTCGGGAACCCCAAGCCCATCGTCACCTGGCTCAGAGAGGGAGACCTTTTGGGTGCCAATGGCAAGTACCAGGTAGGTGGGGCAGGGCTGCCGTGGGGACTCCTGGGCTGGGAGCTGGCAGGGACAGCACTGACAGGGCCACGGTGGCGGCAGCTCCGCCGTGCCTGGAGCCAGCTGTGCTTTCTCAGCACTTCTCCTTGGTGAGATGCCCATTTTCCCCCGCCCCATCCCTGCTGAGCAGCAGCCTGTAACGCTGCCAGACCTTGGGTGCTGGCTGGAGACCACCCAAGTGCTTGGGACAACCCTGCTCCTGCACCTGACCTGCTCCCTGCAGACTCAGCCCAGGGGCCAGGACCCTGGAGATGGGATGGGGGCTGCAGCCTGGGGTAGTGTCCCCCTGGCAGAGATGGATGCAACAGGTCTGGAGCAAGGGAGGGTTGAGCAGCGAGGATTTCCCCTCCTCCCTCCCCTTCAGGACCCTTTTTGCATCCCAGAGGCTCCCAAGCAGAGATTCCCCCCTGAGCTGTAATTGGTAAATCAGGCATTGGAATCAGCGCAGGCACTAATGAGAGTAATTAGGAATCATTTGTTACTAATTGAAATAGAAGGATGAGGCAGAATGAGGTGGGGGGGAAAGCCTGGCTGGGAGGCCTCCCTGTGCATGGGGGTGCTGCTACCCCAAAGGTGACAGTCCCTTGTCCATCCTTCTGCTGTGTCCCCAGGGGAAATCCATCCACTCCTCCGGCTAAGAGGTGGCCCCACAGGGAGGGCAGTGGCCAAGCTGGGGTGTCCTCCTCATCCCTGAGTGATGGAGCAGGTCCCTGGTGGGGCAGGGAATGCTCCAGCAAGGCTCCTTCTGAAGCTCCAGTGGTGGCAGGGTGCTTGGCAGGAGCGGTTTGGAGCCTGCTGCCTGCCAGTCACTTCTGGGAGATGAATGCGCTGGGATGGTTATTTATTTATTTCATGATTTCCTTTCCCTTCCCCTTGGCGTCGAGCAGGAACGCGTGTGTTGGTTTATTAATATCCCAAGCCTTGCAGAGCGGGGAAACCCGTCTCTCATCCGGCCCTGAAAGTGCCGGCAGCTCTCTGCCGTGGGAAGCAGGGAGGGTCTTCCCCGTCCCCCTGGGGGTCCCTGCCCACGCTCCAGGGTCTCCTCTTGTTCCCAGGTGAGCGACGGGAGCCTCACGGTGCTCTCGGTCAGCCGGGAGGACAGAGGTGCCTACACCTGCCGGGCCTACAGCATCCAGGGCGAGGCTGTGCACACCACGCGCCTGCTCGTCCAAGGTGAGACCTTCCAGCTCCTCAGCATCCCCTGGGAAGCCAGGATGGAGGGGCCACGGGGCTGTGGTGTCACCCTGGAGCGACCCCCGAGGCCTGTGTGCCTGGCACGGTGCTGGCTGCCCCGGGGCTCTGCATCCGGTTTGTAGGACGGAGGAATCCGCTTAATTGGGACAGTGGTGGCCGTGCTGATGAGCAGCCAGGCCCTGATGGCAGCTCAGTTTTGTTTGGGAAGCGGGGAAAAGATTGAGGCTGTCATGAAGCGCCTCGTCAGACAGCGGTGATGCATGACAGGCCTCCTGCTCCTTGCTCCCTCTCTTATTAAATAAATCTTTAATTAGGTCAACAGCTACCAGCAGAGAGAGGAGCACAGGGTGTCCTCTGCTCTGCTTTTGTGGCAGTGGTGAGCTGCTGGCTCCTGGCAGTCTGTTCCCCCTGGATTTTTCCTGTGGGTGATGCTATCCTCGGGAAGTGCTGGGGATGAAGGGAGGTGTGTCCTTGTGTGCCCTGGAGAAGCACCATGGGAGTGGATCCCCTCCTCAGAGCCGTAGAGATTAGGGAGAGGGCTGGGAATAACAGGGTCACTGTGGTTCTGAGCCCAGAGATTAGGGAAAGGGTTGGGAATAACAGGGTCACTGTGGTTCTCAGTCAGCCCAGAGATTAGGAAAAGGGCTGGGAATTACAGGGTCATTGTGGTTCTCAGAGGATCGGGGCCAGCCCTGCCCCAGAGCCCTCCAGCAGCTCCCAGCCAAAACGCTGTGATGCAGCTGAGCAACCTTTGTGGGAACACCTGCAGTGCTGGGAGTGACACTTTCCTCTTCCCCCCCTCCAGGACCTCCTTTTATCGTTTCCCCTCCGGAGAACATCACAGTCAACATCTCCCAGGATGCGCTGTTCACCTGCCAGGCCGAGGCGTATCCCGGGAACCTCACCTACCTGTGGTACTGGGAGGAGGAGAATGTCTACTTCAAGAAGTGAGTTTATAGCTGGTGGGGCAGTGTGTTCTCCTTCTCCTGCTGCTCCTGGGCTGTGCTGGGAGCTGGGATTGTGTTGGGCTTCGCCCCTGGCTCTCCCTGTGATCCTCCTCTCCTCTTCTCTTGCAGCGACTTGAAGCTGAGGGTGCGGATTCTGATTGACGGGACGCTGATTATTTTCCGTGTCAAACCAGAGGATGCTGGAAAATACACCTGTATCCCCAGCAACAGCCTGGGCCGCTCGCCATCAGCCTCTGCCTACCTGACAGTGCAGTGTGAGTGCAGGGATGGGGCTGGGAGTGATAACACCTGGCTCCCAGGCAGCCCCAGAGGCTCTCTTGTCCTGGTATGACACTGGGAGAATCAGGCTGATGTGACAGCAGCCTTTGCATGAACATGGAATCATCCTCAGCAAAAAAAGCTTGAGAGCATCCCATGTGGGTGTGGGAGACAAGAAAGCAAATGGTCTGAGCAGCCTGAGTGACACTGCTCAGCTGGGACTGGTGTCCACCTTTGCCACAAGTGCTTTTTAATTAGGTGAGCATCATCCTATGCCTGCTCCCTCACTGTCCTCACCCTGCTGGGAAGCACCAGCTCAGGGCTCTCAGTGCCAAGCTGTATTTTTTGGGGCTCATTTTGGGTGTTTATTCCTGTTGGTGCGGCCGTTTGGCGAGGCGTGTCACATTTTTCAGGCGGTAAGTGAGGTAAGTGATCTAAACAAGCGGAGGAGAAAGGGCTGGAGCAGGAGCGTTGCTTCCCACGCTCGTTCTCCCGGAATCCCCGGGCGGTAATGGGTAGTGTGCCACCGGCATCCTGTGGCATTCCACAGTAATGGCCTCAATTGCCGCCGCTCCAATTGCAATATTGCTCCTCTCAAAAAGACTGCGGCGTTTTTATTTCATAATGAAAGACAGGCCTGAGCAAAGTGGGTTCCCAGCGTGGGTTTTCCAAGGCTCTCTTCGAGCTGCTGACTTTAGACCTGGTGCTGGTTAGTGGGGAGCTTCTGAGAGAAGAGCTGGCAAGTCCCTGTGGATGAAGGGGCAGAGTGGGCAGGGGGACGGTGTCAGTGGTGCTGTGCCCAGGCACAGGCGTGATTTGGGGCTTGGATGTGCCCAGCTGGGTGGCTCTTGGGAAAGCCTGTGGCCTCAGGCCATTAAATCTGCCCTGCCGCTAATCCAAGGCTGCTTGTCAGGGCTGATAGCTGTTAAAAATAGCTCTAATGGCAGGGAGAGCAGCGCTCGGACAATCTGCCGCTCAGCCAAAGGGTGCTCGGCTTTTGGTGCCACAAACCCTTTTCCTCCTGAGCAAACCTCATCCACAGCGGGGCTGATGGCTCCGGAGGGAGCTTCCCATCCTCCCAAGCAGATGGGGACACCGCTCTGGGTCATTAGTGGGCTGGGCTGGCCCCTGGCCAGTGACCTAGTAGTGAAAGGCTCGATCCCATTACCCTCTCCCGCGCTGCTGGAGCCCTTGATTACATTTCCTAAGAGGTGGAGATGCGCAGAGGGGGGTAAAGCCTGCTCCATATGTGGCGCTGGGCAATCTGGGTTATGGTGCCACTGCCGGGGGCGTGTGGATTTGGGGAGTGGTTGGGGTGGCGAGCTCCCAAACTCTGCTGGTTTTGCCCCAAGAAAGCAATAAGGAAAGGAAAAAACCCCATATCTTCCATCCCTTCCTATTAAGCACCTTAATGTTTAGCTCCCACTTTGCATCAGCAGTGCAGGGATGCTGCACCCCAAAACCTCCACATTTATCCCTTAATGCAGCGTAAGCCCCATCAGGATTTCCCCATAACCTCGTGCTGCCGGTGTCTAGACGAGATTGTAGAAATACTCACTCTTCTTATTAAAAATAACATTTTTTAAAAAAGCTTCTTATTAAAGAAAGTCTAGATTATCTTCAACCCACTCGCACTTAATTAAAAAGCTCTTAGAAGTGCTGTTAATGACACATTCTAGACTGGAGGATTGCGAGACACCTCTCTGCGTGGGTGGTGCAGCGTGGAGGGGGGGGTTAGATATGTATTTTAAGGTTTTTGCATCTTGGAAAGGGTGAGGTGGTTGCTGTTCAACATGACCCAGCCTCAATGAGGCATGAGTACAAGCAGATATGGGAGGTAAAGGACTCATGGCAGCCTGGACATGGGTCCCTTTTCCCATCTGGGTGTGTTTTAAGGCTTGGCAGTTGAAATAGCTTTGATTGCTGGTATGTCAAACCAGGCTGTGCCGGGTGTTCATCACACCTGGCACGTGTCATGTTGTAATGGAGCAGCGCAGAGTTCAGCAGGATACAAGCTGGTGTGGAATTTGGAGCAGGCATATCTCACATTTCTTCTTAAATGCAGTCTTTAATGAGCCCCAGGTAGGAACACCCTGGACATGAGCAAAGCCTCCCAGAAATTCCAGGTATTCCGGTGGATTTGTGCGTAGCAAGCCTGGCTGGGTTTGGAATTCATTACAGAAGTGAGGTAGATCCTCTGAAGCCAGGCTGGGAGGAGAGATGGGCTCTCTCCCCATGCTAACGTGGTGCTGCTCCCCCCCAGATCCTGCCCGTGTGGTGAACATGCCCCCCATCATCTACGTTCCCATCGGGATCCACGGGTACATCCGCTGCCCGGTCGAGGCGGAGCCCCCGGTCACGCTGGTCAAGTGGAACAAGGACGGGCGTCCCCTGCGAATCGAGAAGGTAACGAAGCCCCCGGGGAGGGGAGGTGGGGGCACAGCGGGGTTCAGACCCTCATGTCCTCAGCCAACACCAAGGAGCACCACCAGGCACCCTGTGGGTCCCTTTGTGCTGGGAGAGAAGAATCTCATGGGTGGGATGAGGCTGCTTTTCTTTATCAGCTGTGGGCAGAGTTAATTCCACTGCTTGTACGGAGCCCACAGTGCCCGTGGATATTCTGTGTCTCTCACACCTGATGCCTTCTTCCCCCTAAAGTCACCTCCTGATGGCCCTGGTTTATTTTTCCAATGGCAACTGGTGGTAAAAAGACCCTTTTAACAAATGTGCATCTTCTCCTAATCATGGGTTGATAGTCTGAGCAAGGATATTAGCCATTAAATATTTAGAGAAAACGCTTAGTATTTTAAATTTTTTGCTTAAATATTAACGATTTGAAGTTTTAATTCCATTTAAAGCTGTTGCTGCTGTGGCCTTCTGGTCCTTGGTGCCCTCAGCCCTCCAGGTGGAGATGTCTTGCCAACTCCAGAACAAGTTTTATTTAGTGTTAGACTCTGATCTTAAATCTTTTGGGCTACATGAAGGAGCCTGTCTGTGTTTGGACAGGCTGATGTTGCCCAAGATTTCTCTCTCTGCTGTTGAGGAGATGCTTTGGATGTTGGGAGCGGGATTGGGCATCTCCCGGGGGTATGACAGCCCCGCCAGGCGTGGGTGGGGGGCTTGGCTCAAGGGGGAGATGAGGAGCTGTGGTGGGTGCTGGATAAGTGAGCTCCCTGCTTCTCCCCGCTGCAGTATTCCGGCTGGAACCTGCTGGAGGACGGGTCGATCCGGATCGAGGAGGCCACTGAAGATGCTCTCGGCACTTACACCTGTGTGCCTTATAACGCCCTGGGTACGATGGGCCAGTCTCCCCCTGCCCGACTGGTACTGAAGGTAACTCTTCTGCCAAAATCCCATGGGTTTGCTGGGAGCAGTGTCCTCCTGTGCCAGGGGCAGCTCCCGGGGTGGTGTGGGGAGGAGCAGAGGCTCCAGGGTGAGGGTGTGTCTGTGCTTCCCACCAGCACCGGCAAACCCCCAGGGTGCCCTGTCTGGTGTAGCTGGAAATATCCTGCCGGAGCAGCAGCACGGGTTTTGACTCTGGACTGGGGTAGTTTGAGGAAACATCTCCCTGGAATGTCCCCTTTGCCAATAAAACACTTAGCCCTGCTGGCCCGGGCTTGGGTTCAGGAGGATTTTAATAAATGGATGATTTGAGCTCCATGTGCTCCGGCTGCGTGTGGCGCCTGGGGCGCGCCGGGCTCCCAGCGCAGTTCCTGGTGCAGCTGGGGTGGGAGCTGCTGCCTCTTCCCTCCCTGAACACGGAGTCCTGTGCCTGGGAGGGAGCTGTGGTGATTCATGGTGTCTAGCTGAGGTTCAGATGACAACGCTTTGTGTACCAGACACACACATCCGCCGGGGCGGCTGCCGGGGCGAGGAAATCAGGTTGATGGCTGATGTGATGTGGGTGGGTTTCTTCCTGTTTCAAGGAGGTAAAAAAGCAAGATGCTGCTCAGCCTGGAGAAGTTGTGTGGAGTTGTCACAGCAGCCTTCCTGTGTCTGTGGGGACCTGCAAGGAAGCTGGAGAGGGATTCTTTGTCAGGAAATGTAGAGATGGGACAAGGGGTTATGGGCTCAAACTGAAAGAGGCAAAATTTAGGTTAGATATGAGGAGAAAGCTCTTCTGTGTGAGAGAGGGGATGCCCTCGTAGAGGTTGCCCAGGGAAGCTGTGGCTGCCCCATCCCTGGAAGGGTCCAAGGCCAGGTTGGAGCAATCTGTGATAGTGGCAGGGGGTGGAATGACATGAGCTTTAAGGTACTTTCCAACCCAAACCATTCTGTGATTCCATGATTTTATGCTCCAGTACGGTGTCTCTTTGGAGAGAATCTCCCTCCAGGTGTGTAATTTGGTGTGCCATCGAGGCTCCTGGCACACATTCTCCACACAATTTTCCTTACAACCAGAACGGGGATCGGGTTGGTTTGGAAAAGGCTTGGCTTTGGTGATGGGGGTTTGGGCAGGCTGACACTCCTTGTTTTTCCCCTTGGCTGCAGGACCCCCCCTATTTCACGGTGCTACCAGGCTGGGAGTACAGACAGGAGGCAGGGAGGGAGCTGTTGATTCCTTGCGCTGCTGCAGGAGACCCCTTTCCCATCATCGCCTGGAGAAAGGTACCCGGCCTGCCAGACAAATCTGCAGTGCCTTTGGCTTTTGGTGAATATTGCAGACAGAGAAGCCACACTCTGTCCCGGTAAGAACAAACTGCAGGTACAGCTGCTTCGCTTTGGGCTGAGCCACTGCCGTCCTGTCCCGCAGGTGGGTGGGGGAAGCCCGGCTTGTGGCCACCGAGTAATCCCGGGAAACCGACACGGCAGCATCCGCAAAGCTGAAACACTGCCCCCGGCCCGGCCCCCTCCTCTGCCTCGCCGCCACTGCCCACAGGACACCCTCCTCCCTGCCTGGCTCCCAGCTGCTCACTGGCAGGACGTGGCAGTGTGGCAATGCCGTTCTCGCAGCGCACACCTCCTGTGCAGGGAGGGGATGTGTCACCACAGCACATCCAAGGGTCTCTTGGCTCTGGACCAGTCAGCAGCTGCTTTACTGCCTCGTGACTTTAAAGAGCCTGGGAAGAAGCTGTTTTTATGATCCTGGACTGGATAGAAAGATTTCAAGACGTTCCTTTTCATAGAGCAGGGTGTGGTGGCACAGCCTGGGAGCAGTGAGGGCTTTCCAGTTCTCCTGCAGCCTTCCCCTTGCTTCCCACCTTTACTGCTCCCATGGGAAAGCCACTGAACAGGAGACCTCCTGGGCTCTTTGTTGTGCTGTCAGGAACTTCCCTCCAAGCCTTCCATGCCCTTCTTAGGGCTCTTGAGAGTGAGCTGTGTCCCCTCTGTCTGGGACCATCCCCAGTCCTTGTGTCTTGAGCTGCTGGATCTCTGAGTCCCTTTTAGCAGCACGAGGAGGACCATGACTTGCACACATTTCAAGAGACCTGCCTAAAGGTTTTTGGCTGTTTGGTCTTTTTCTCCATCTTATTTTTCTTTCCGTGCCCTCACCAGTCTCAGTCAGGTTTCTTTCCAATCCCATTTGTACCTTCTGGTGCTCCTCCTCATTCTGTGGCTCTGGGCTTATCTCCTCCAACTCAGGGCTGGCTTGGACTGGGCTCAGTTTTCCAGTGGCAGAAGTCAACTCCCTCCCTCCCCATCAGCCCACCAGTGCTGACCAGTCTCTTGAAGGACTCCTGGGCTTGCACTGGTAACCCCACGTGTCCGTGGGCTCCTCTGCTCCTCCTTCTTTGCATCGACCTGCGGGTCCTGGTGTTGATCAGCAGAGTCCCCCACACGAAGAACACCTGAAGAGGACTCAGGACAACGTGGGATTTGCACAACTTTGGCTGATGGACACAGATGAGTTGTTACAAGATCCATCTTTCCGCTCGACTTGAGAAATTCCAGGCACCTCCACGCACGCCATCCTCCCACATCCCCATGGGGCCCTTGCTGCCCAGACCTCTGCTGTGTCCTGCCTCTCATCTGCTGCTGTCTGAGGCTGAGGGGCAGTTTGGGCATCTCCTGGGGCAGCCTGTGCCTTCCCCATCCCTTGAGTGGTTTAGCTGGGATGGCCGGTGCCCCTTCCCGCAGCAGTTTCAGCTTTGGATGCCGGAGGCTGAGCCCTGGCGCGGGGCTCGCTGTCCGTGCGAGTGCCGTGGGGTTTCCCGCTCGTGTGTGAGTGCTGAGCAGCAGCCTCCTGACGCATGCCTCTCGCGTTGCCCCCCAGGTCCTCTCGGAAACGGGGGAACCGTCTGCCTTGCCACGACCGGAGAGACCGGATCCCCTGCCGGTGGCCGGCGGTGTCCCCTGGGCCGCGCAGGTAGCTTAGTGACCCCGCCGCCGCCTCGCCCTGCCCCACAACCCGCTGCTGAGGCGTGTTTTTTCTCTCTTTGCCCGGCTCCCCACCCCGCTCCTTGCCCAAGGTAGGGAAGCCCAGCAGGAGCAAGCACAACACGCTGCCCGGCGGGACCCTGCAGATCCGCTCCCTCGGCAAGGATGACCACGGCGAGTGGGAGTGCGTCGCCACCAACATCGTCGCGAGCATTACTGCCAGCACCCACCTGACTGTCGTAGGTACGGGCAGGGGGCAAAGGGGCCTGGGGAGAGCCCCCCAGGCAAGGCAGGAGATGGGGATGCTCCCCACAAAGAGAAGTGTGGTGACAGGATGAGGGGGAGTGGCTTTAAACTGAGAGATAGAAGGTTTAGATGGGATATTGAGAGGAAATTCCTCCCTTTGAGGGTGGTGAGTCCCTGGCACAGAAGCTTGGGCTGCCCCATCTCTGGAAAAGCTCAGGGTCATGTTGGACAGGGCTTGGAGCAACCTGGTCAAGTGGATGGTGTCCCTGCCCAGGAGGGTTTGAGTAGACCTCCCTTCAAGTTCCTTCCAACCCAAACCACTCTACGATTCCAAGACAAATTTGTCCTTTAAATGTTATTTCCTGGTGGAGTTGCCTTTCTCTGTGCTGTTATTTTGGCCACCTGTCCTGCTGCCATTTCCAGCAGAAAAGGCCTTGGCCATTGGCTCGGTGCAAGAGGAATCCCCTCGGACCCTTGGGAGAGGCCCCCTCGCAGCCCTGGTGCTGCTCCCTCTGAGCTGTCCCCTCTCTCCGCAGGGACAAGCCCTCACGCCCCGACCAGCGTGCACGTCGTGGCCGCCATGACCTCAGCCAACGTCTCCTGGGAGCCCGGCTATGACGGTGGATACGAGCAGACTTTCTCAGTTTGGTACGGCCCTCTGTGAGTCATCCTGGCATGCTTTGCTCTCTGCTTCTTTTCCTTCCTAGCCGACCCGAGCTTCGAGCAGCCGGGGGGAGGAGGGTGGGGAGGGTGGCGTGCCTGGCTCTGTGCCTGTGGGCCTTACAGGGCTGAGCTCCCTCGGGTTCCTCGGAGAGAAGGGTGGTGGTGATGGTGGTGGGATCGTGTAGTTCCCGTATTTCCTCTCCCTTCTGTGCTGGCCACTGCCTCCGTCTGCCCCAGCAGGTTTTACTCTGCTTGTGGTACACAGGAGGCGCTTTGCATTCATGTAGCTGTGCCTCTGGCATCTAATTTCAAGATAAACTGTTTATGAGGCTTAGCAGCCAGGGAGAGGATGGAAAATGCAACCTTTAGAGAGTGTGTCCTGGAAGAGCTGTGACTAAGCAGAAATGTTCTCTCCTTGCTCTGAGCCTCTCTCTGGCTCCCAGGAGGTGGTCAAATCCCCGCTGAGATCATGGCCAGCACTGTGAGATCCTGATACTGGGGCTGAGCCCCTGGGGCTTTGCTCCCACAGCTCCTGTGCTCACCCAAAGCTGGTGTGTGCATCCCACCCTCCTGCAGCAGGGCCAGGCTCAGCCCTGTGCCTTTCCCCTGGGGCAGGGGAGGGAGAAATGAAGTGCAGCAAGGCTGGGATTTACTTTGGGCTCTGCTGTTGTCGTCTTCTTCTAAAGAATCATCCTTGGAAACATGGAGGGGGTGATGCCTTCCCTTTCCAGGCTTGGCCTGGCATTCTAAGCCTTTCCTCTTGCTCTCTCATTCTTTCCTTGCCTTAATTTGCCCTGATGGAGGCTGCTGATAGAGAGGAGAGAGGGAGACGCTGCCTGTAATGATTTCTGCTCTGCTCCAGCCTGGGGCTGGGCTGTCTGTCTGGAGATGGAAAGAAGGAATGGATTGAACAGAGGGGGGAAAATGAGGGAGCAAGCTGAGCAGTGCAGACCTTGCTTTGATGAAAATGTCCTTGGGAAGGAGTGGTTAAACCTCTCTGCTCTGGAGACGTGGCTGCATCAGCAGCTGCTGCTGCTCTTGCTCTGCAGCCTGCTCTCGGATTCCTGCCTCCTCGTGGCTCTTCCAGACTCCACAGGGAGAGAGCAGCCAGCAGGGAAGGGTGTTTGCACCAAGCTTGCATTAAGGAATTCACAGGGAGCTGTGGGGGCTTTGGGTAGGCAGGCAGTGACCTGTCTCGCCCTGACCCTGGGATGTGATCCCTGGGGGATGTGCTGTTCCCTGGGACCAGGGATCTGGGACACAGCTGGCTCATGTAGTGCCACCCAGAGTGCCATCCATGTGCTTTCCTCCCTGCTGTGGCTGTGGGATGCTCAAGCAAAACATGGCTCCATTTTCTCTGGATTTGTGCTCTCCTCCCGTGCCTGCCATTGTTAAGGCTGGAAATGCAAACCTTGCTCCAGGGCCAGCCCAGCATTCCAGCTACACCACATCCCCCTCAGCTAGGGGGTTCTCCCAGTTCAGTGCTGCATTTACCCTCTGCTTCCCCCACCCTCAGCCCCTCTCTCGTGTGTCCCTGCCCGCAGCAGTGCTGGGAAGGAGGGATGTGGGGGCAGTGAGATTAAACACTGCAGGGAAACCTGTGCAGGAAAGGGGCTGCCCTGCTGCCCTCCTGCCTCTGCCACAGGATCCTGGGATCTGTAGTTCCAGCTGGAGCTGTGGTGATCCAGAGGCTTTCCCTGGGTTTGGTGGAGGCACACAGAACGTGCACGGCTCTCCACCGACCTGCTCGTTTCCATGGCTTGCTGCCTCTTCTCTGCCTCACCTTCTGCTCCCTGGACAGCAGCGTTATTTCTCTTTCCTCCATCTTTTCCTGCTGGGTGGATTCACCTGGCTGTGTGCTGGTGGCTGCAGATGTGTCCCCTTATCTGTGCAGGACAGACCATCTGCACCAATCCTTCCCAAATCCTCCGTGGACACCACCAAAACATCAGACTCCCTAAAGCATCTTTCTAACATGAACAGCTATTCTTGCAGTATCACAGCAGTGCTTTGGGATGTGGGATCCTGGTGGGATTAATGGCTTGTGGAGGTGGCTGCATGCTCCTGGGTGGCACTGGGATGGCTCTGGGAGTGTTTTTCACCCTGTATTTGTGGTTAGACCCCAGAAGAAAGGTTCTGTCCTGCACTCCCTGCCAGTGCCTCTGCTGCTCTGCCAAACCCTGAGCGGTGCCCCGGGCTGTGCTGGCAGCCCCCAACTTGTGCAAATGTAGCAGAGATGGGGATTTAGTTAAATGTCTCTCGTGGGATGACATGTACAGGGCTACAGCTGAGGGAGAACTTGGCTCTGGCTCAGAAGATGTCGAGGTATAAATGGGAACAGGGCCTGTCTCCTGCGTCAGCCGTTCCCTTTGCAGCACTCACCAAAATGCTCCCGCTCCCACTTTTGCCCGTGGGAATCTGGTGGAAATCACGTCAGAGCGGGGCTGTTGGCACTGCTGTTATCCCTGACCCAGCTCAGGGCAGAGGGGAGAGCTGGTGGCAGTGCCCCTGAGAGCAGGTGGGACACGAGGGATGGTGTCCTGTGCCAGCTCGTAGGTGGCGAGTGGCTTCCCCACGTCCATCCACATCACTGCTGCCAAACCAAACCATCGCTCGGGAAAGCTCCATTTCTGCATAAGAAGTTAATGCTGCCTCTTTGTCCTCCCTGTCAAAGACAGCTTCTCTGAGGATATTCCCTTTTCTCTCGGCAGGATGAAGAGAGCCCAGTTTGGACCCCATGACTGGCTGTCTCTCCCTGTGCCAGCTGGTTCCAGTTGGCTACTGGTGGATACCTTGGAACCAGAGACTGCTTACCAGTTCAGTGTCTTGGCTCAAAACAAGTTGGGCACCAGCTCCTTCAGTGAGGTGGTCACTGTGAACACTCTAGGTGGGTCCTCCCTGGGAGTGAGGGGTGGGCTGGGGAGGGATCTGGGAGGTCTGTGGGGAGAAGGAGCCCTTTGCCTTGCTCCATGAGATGTCTGCTGAAGACGGAGATAAACACCATCAGCAATAGTTTCCAGCCATGTAGGGGTTAGTTTGTGGAGGGTCCTGGATGAAGCTTGCAGACTTTTCTGGAAGCATGAGGCTCTGGAAGGTTTGTCCTGAGAGACAGCATGGGAGAGCTGTACTGTGCCAGTTACCTTTCAGATCTTCCTTAAGTTCAGCTGAGATCAGGAGGTATTAATAGAGCACGAGATCACTTGTTACAGCTCAGAGCCTTTGGGCTCTCAGGTGGAAGTGGGAGGAGGCAGGAAGGCCTGGAGTCACGGCCTCATTTAGTCCAGTGCCTTTTGAAAATCCACTTTTCTATTTCTGTAATAAGAGACCAGGCTCCCAAAACGTGCCCTAAACTCCTGGAATGTGGGAACAGCCACAGCGATCCTTCTGCTGCTGCTGGGGGCACGTATGGAAGACGATCTCCTGTGCTTGCCCTGCCCCATCTCAGAGGTGTCCCTGTCCCTTCTGCTCTGTCCCCAGCATTCCCTGTAACAACTCCAGAGCCTCTGGTGTTGGTTACCCCACCGAGGTGCCTAACAGCCAACCGGACACAGCAAGGCGTCCTCCTGTCGTGGCTCCCTCCCGCCAACCACAGCTTCCCCATCGACCGCTACATCATGGAATTCCGCGTGGCGGAGAAGTGGGAGATCCTGGATGATGGCATCCCGGGCTCTGAGAGCGAGTTCTTTGCCAAGGACTTGTCCCAGGTGAGCAGGGGCTGCCCACACCACACCCAGCTCAAGGATCTTTTCCAGCCTTCATGATATTGCACCATCTGCTGCGGCTCTGGGGAAGTTTTGGAGTGGCTAGCTGCTTTTGTAGGAGCGCAGCTTGGGAAAATGACTGAAACTTAAAGTTTTGATACAGTCACTCTGATGTGCTTCAATGAACAAAGCCTGGGAGAGAAGGATGTATTGTTGAGGTTGGAATGTAGGATTTATGGACCACAAGGACATTTTTCAGAAACCAGAAGCTAAAGAGACTAGCAAAGTCTCAGTATACATTAGAAAGTCCCTACACGAGGAAAAAGCTACTAAAAAGACTAAAAATATTCACTAATTAGCATAAGAAGCGAGAAATCAATAACCAATAGAGGATAGAATACTAATTAATGAAAGAGAATTGTGTAATTTAGAACCAATGAACAATAATTTTTGTTTGATGAAAACCTATAAATAGATGAAAAAATTTTCTCTCCGTGTCTGGGTGGAGGCCAGGATTTTACTGGCTACACACCCCCTGGGCAAGGATAAAAGCCTGACTTGCTAACCTTAGAAAGGGTTAGACGGTTTTATTTATGCTGGGGATGTTGGGAGGTCTGGTAGGACGAGGCTGGAGGCTGTGTGGGCGCCCTGACAGGTGTGTTTGGTGTTCCAGGACACCTGGTACGAGTTCCGTGTGCTGGCGGTCATGCAGGATCTCATCAGTGAACCCAGCAACGTCGCTGGCGTGTCCAGTACAGGTGAGGGCTGGCTCCTCTTCTCCCCCTGGCTTGGGGGGGCTGTGAGCTGGGCTGAGGGGGGTACAGGGCTGTGCTGAACACGGTGCTGACCCCAGGCAGGGAGCAGGTGAGGACAAATCCCCGGAGCAGCGCAGAGCCCAGCCCGCCCCGGCGCTGCGGTGAGCCGGGAGAACAAAGCTCCGATGGGCACTGGCGCAGCCTGGGAACGGGAGTGAAAGGTGGAGAGAGGGAAACGCAGCACTGCAGTGCAGAGTCCACAGGGAAAAGGGCTTTGCAGTGGGAGGCTGCACCGTGCTGCGGTTCGTGCGTGTTCCCTGCACTCGGAGGATGCTCCGAGCGGAGGAGGCTGCGATGGCGCTGGGGAAGGCGAGGGCAGCACGGAGGGATGGGGATGCGGCGAGCCCGCATTTCTGGCTCTCGTGGAAAAGCCTGTGCTGCGAAGCAGCGGTCTTTCTCTGCCCCCAAGTGGTGCCGGTGTGGTGAGGAGAGTTTGCTGCAGCCTCCCTGCTCGCTGCCCTTGCTCCTCACGCCCAGTTTTACTGATGGGGTTTGGCAGGTGCCCGGCCCCAGGCAGCTGCTCTCCCAGGCTGAAAGCCCAGGCTCCGTGGGGGAATGCGCTGATCCTGGGTACGGCACACGGCAGGAGCAGCGAGGTGTGCAGGCTGCACATCTGCACGTGCCCACAGCTGAGCTCTGCTGGGGCTGCACACGTGCTCCTGTTTAGCAAAGGGGTGTCGTAAGGGTTTGGAGCCCAGCTTTCATTGGAATGCTGAAATGAAGCACTGACAAAGAGGTTGAAATATCTTGTGCTGCTGCAGCAGGTTAAACAGCCAGGAGGTGACTGCAGGTTTGCTGCAGCTGTGGGTGTTTAGACATAAATATGTATTTGTTCGGTGTAGAGTCTTCTTCCCTGGGTGTCCACCAGCTAACACAGAAAGGTTTACCAGATTGCTTTGGGCAATCTGGTCTAGTTGAAGATGTCTCTGCTTATTGCAGGGCAGTGGGACTAGACAGCCTTAAACAGCCCTTTCCAGCCAAAACTACCTTATGATTCAGTGATCTGGTGTGAGATCACCAAATCCCTTGGTCCTGAAGCAGCGCTGATTGCTCTCCCTGGGTGGGCTGGTTTGGAAGCAGGGTCTTTACAGAGCTTGTCATTCCTGGACACTGTCACTGCCTCCACACTGCGGCAGCTCCCTGGGGAAGGCAGCAGGTGTAACACTGAATTGTGGTTTTTCCCCAGACGTTTTCCCTCAGCCTGACCTGACGGACGAGGGCCTAGCCCGCCCGGTGCTGGCTGGCATCGTTGCCACCATCTGCTTCCTGGCTGCTGCCATCCTCTTCAGCACACTCGCCGCCTGCTTCGTCAACAAGCAACGCAAACGCAAGCTTAAGCGCAAGAAAGGTGAGTCCATTCCCCGTGTGCTTCCTCCCTCCTTCCTGTCTCCTCCTCATTTCTTCCCCCTGGTTGTGTTGTGGTCGTAACCTTCTTCCCTGTCTGTCTCTTCTTCGTCCGTGCGCGTCCTCAGGTGAAGCCCTGACTTCTTCCCTCGGCTGTGCCTGAAAGCGCCCGTGGTCGGGAGCGGGAGAGGCAGGGTGGGTGAAGAGGCGCCAGAGAAACTAGCCTGGGAATTCGAGGGAGCTCTCCCACGTGGTGATAACTCCTAGAACCGGGGGTTTAGGGCTGGGCTGTCCTCTGGGATGCACTCGGGGGGCACCGCTCACCTCCTCCAGGGCCCCCCGAAGCTGGGCTCTCCAGCTGCTCCCAGCCTGCTGGAGCGGGCAGTGCTGGGGTAGAGAAGACCCCAAAGGAGACCCTGCTGCTCTGCTTCCCGAAAGCTGGGACTGCAGCCTCCATGCAGGAGCGGCTGGTAGGGAAAAGGGCGGCTGGGGAGCTGGAGAGGGCAGGGAAGCGGCTCCGTCTCCTCCAGCCTGCGGGGCTGCGGCAGCAGGACGGGCAGGACCCTGTGACGGGAGCTGTTTGTTGTCAGCAACCATTAAAGCACTGGAGCAATGAAACCTTGGCCTCTTGTTGAGTGTCTTTTGTTGTCTTGATGTTGAGTCTGTCTTGTCTCTGTCGTGTTGCGCCTCCTCAGCGTTCTCTCTTCTTTCCCCTTTTTATTCTCTTCCAGACCCTCCTCTCTCGATAACCCACTGCAGGAAGAGTTTGGAGTCCCCGTAAGTATCTGTCTTAGCTGCAGCACTAGGCTGTGGGGTCTTCAAGATGCCTCCCTCCAACAGTCATTGCAAAGCTCAAATGGAAATATCTCATCCTTATTTGCTTGCTCATGATCAGTTGTGTTTGGGTGTTCCCTGAACTCCTGGGAGAACAGCAGTTCACAAGAGACAAATGGGCTTTGGAGCAGAAAGCAGCAGGGACAAATGCAGCAAACTGAGCTAAGAGATGACCCCGCTGGATCTGTGAACATTTTCCAAAGCTGGAGTTGGCTGATGGAACTCAATTCCACACCAGTTGGAAGGCGCTCCTTAGGACAAGGACTAGCCTGCTGCATACGGAGTCCTTCCTGCCAGCTCGGTGCAGTTTTTGAGTCATTCTCTGCTGGCTCTTTTTTCCCTGGGAAATTCATCTTTTCTCCTGAAGAGTGCCCTGCTGAAGCCTCTTACCACATGTGCCCAAAGGTGGTGGATCATGGTGCTGCAGAAGCCACAGCTCCTTGCAGAGTCCATCAAAAGCATGTGTAGCTCCAAATCGGCAGGAGCATCTTCCCGCTGGGAGTGCAAGAGTCTGGGATCTTGTCACCTCATTCTTTGGCTCCTGGACTTGTGTAAAATGTCCTGGTGCCAGTAGATCTGAATCTTACTTGTTTTCAGTTCATCCACTGCACTGAAATTACCTGCACTGTCTCTGTTGGATCTGCTGTCTTTTGCCTCTCAATCCTGTTTGTCCAAGGCTTTCTGGATAGGGATGAGGGAACTACCCTGAGGCTCTCAGCCTAAAGTCTGAGTGTTGAGAATGGGAGAAAGAGTTGGTCTGAAATGATCCATCAGCATCTCCAAGTGAGATGCTGAGTTCTGTGGGAGGGAACGTTTGCCTGATGTCCCTCTTGTCAGGGCCTTCCCTGGGCATGGATAGCTCAGGTGGACATAAGAAACCTCAGAAGGAGTTGGAAGCAAGCTCTGGATGTCTTTTTTTCCCTGTGGGGCTGCGGAGCTTGTTGCAAGGTGTTGGTGGAGCTTGTTGTGAGGCGTTGGGATGTTGGTGGAGCTTGCAAGGTGTTGGTGTGAGCTTTCTGCCCTGAGTGTTCCGAGCTGCCCTCCCAAGGATCAGGGATGTTGTGCACCGCTGCTGGCGAGACTCTGCCATCCTGGTTAGCCCCTGCCAATTTCTCCCAGAGGTTCCTTTTTTGAGAGCCGGTAGCACTTTGTTTTCCGGATCCAGAGTTGTTCTTCTGGGCGAGAAGGCGTCCTTTCCGCTCCGGGTGACCGTCCCCTCTCTCGGTTTTTCTCCCCTGTGGTCCAGGTTGTCTTCCGGCAAGGTGAGTCCCGAGAGCATCCGCACGCTGCGTCCCCCCTCGGAGTCCTCTGACGACCAGGGCCCGCAGGCCAAGCGGATGCTGAGCCCCACCAAGGAGAAGGAGCTCTCCCTTTACAAGAAGACCAAACGAGCCATCAGCAGCAAGAAGTACAGCGTCTCCAAGGCGGAGGCCGAAGCCGAGGCCACCACTCCGATCGAGCTCATCAGCCGTGGGCCGGACGGACGCTTCGTCATGGACCCGGCGGAGATGGAGCCCTCCCTGAAGACACGGCGGATCGAGGGCTTCCCCTTCGTAGAGGAGACGGACATGTACCCCGAGTTCAGGCAGTCGGACGAGGAGAACGACGACCCCGTCGTCCCCACCTCCGTGACCGCCCTGAAAGCCCAGCTCACCCCTCTGTCCTCCAGCCAGGAGTCCTACCTTCAGCCACCAGCATACAGCCCCCGGTTCCACCGGGCGCTGGAGGGTCCTGGCGCCCTGCAGGCCACCGGCCAGGCCCGCCCGCCGGCCCCCCGGGCTTTCCACCACCAGTTTTACGGTTACCTCAGCAGCAGCAGCCCCGGGGAGGTGGACCCGCCGCCCTTCTACATGCCAGAAGTCAGCCCGCTGAGCTCGGTCATGTCCTCCCCACCGCTGCCCCCCGAGGGGCCCTTCGGACACCCCA